TACATAACTGATGAATAAACGGGTCAAATCCACCCAAACACTGTCCGTTCAGCTGAATGATGTCTGTCAGACTGTTGGGGACCAAACCAAAGCAGGTTCTGGTGTTTGTTCTGCTGCAGCTGTTCCTGCTGTTTCCTTTATTTTCGGGCCTAAATCGTCTCATTTGCATCTGAAAGTGAAGCTGAAGCGACCTGCCGGGCTTCAGGTCGGGCTTCATGGGTGCAGCTGCAGAGAGAACACCAGACACCAGACGTTTTATTAATGTTAGACCCAGACAGAGACCGCCCCGATCATCGACTTTATTTCAGAAAAGCAGTGTTTTGAGAGTCTGTTCTCCACACAGAACCTTAATGTTCCACTGAATCCTTCCACCACGTTCCTGTTGGAACCAGATTCTTCTCACCATCACAAACTGGTCGCCTCAGGCCTGCTGTGAACCAGGCTGGTGGATGTTTGCAGAAGAACAGATTCGAGCCGATTTGCAGTCTCAGTGGTGCCAGAGACCAGGTCCAGACCATCTGGACCAACAGCACCAGAGTTCATTTATTTAGAGCATCAACACAGAAATGCAAAACGTCTTTCTAGACAATAAATATTTAAAGCAGCATGAAGACGTGTCGGCGAGAAGCAGCTTCAGACTGTGAGACATTTAAATGCCTTCAATGTAACTGCAGTAAAAAAAAACAACATTTACATGAGAGTCAAGTGCAGGTTCTGCTTTTACATCCTCCTGCCTTCATCTAATGAGGACCAATGAGAAGATGGAGGAGAAGGAGACCAGCAGCAAAGTGTCCATCAGTTCATCAGTTCATCAGTTCTGCAGCAGCATCAGGATTCCTCTGATTGATTCACGTTTCTGTGGACCAGAACTCCTGCTCACGCTCCAACCTCGGCCTTCCTCCATCGACCTCCTCCTTATTGGTGGTCGTGACACAGCAGCGGCTCACAGGAAGCTGCTTCCTCTGCAGCGTCAACAGGAAGTGCTTTCCACACGAGGGCGCCGCAGTGCGAACACTTAGGAAACGGAAACAGCATCAGCGTCTCTCCGTACGCTCCCTGCAGCTCGAACTGGAAGGAGTCGGCGTCGTCACACCGAGCGACGTCGCACTCGTCGGCCGCTCGCCGCCTCGCCTGCAGCGCGGCGCTCCTCGACAGTCGCGTGTCTTGCACTTCGTCAGACTCGACTGCGCGTCGCACGGCCTGGCGTGAAGCGTTTCTCGCGAGGCGAGCGTGTCGCTCCTCGTCGGACTCTGCCGCTCGGCGTCTCGCCTGCCGCGCCGCGTTTACAGCCAGACGGGCGTATCGTTCTTCGTCCGACTCGGCGGCGAGACGTCTCGCTTTACAGGCGGCGTTACTGGCCAGGCGAAGGTCTCGAGCTTCCTCTGACTCGGCTGCACGAGCTCTTCTGCGACTCATTCGGTCTCGAGTTCGGCGAGCCTCTCGGGCTTCGTCCGACTCAGCTGCGCGCGTGAGTCGCATGGCGTTGCGAATCCGCTTCCGCCGGGCCGGGCTGTCTTTCGGCATGTTGGCGTCAGAAAACAGGATCTGCAACCAGCGGGAGACGCAGGAACGTAAACCTTCATGCAGTAAGTTCACATGGAGGCGGTGAGAGGAAGCGAACAGATCAGCACCACAGTCAGAACCTCTGAAACCCAAAAACTACCAGGTGATTGAAAAACGTTTCTTCACCATTTATCAAACAGAAACTGAAAACACAGAGAGAACCATCAGGTCCAACATCCCAGTGTCCTAAAATCCCTCATGTGTGAGCCGCTACTCCTTCAGGAAGACTAATCAAACCGGAGCTCATCTGATCACCATCACTTCATCCTCCATCCTCACCGGGATCAGTCTCTAATGTGCAACTAGACTTATTAACTCAATAAAACGACACGTACACAGATAAATGCTCAGATCATATCTATAGTGATCACCTGTACTGCTGCAGACCTGCTGAACCAATCAAGTCCTCAGCAACAGGCAGGATGGAGGGGGGCGTGTCCGCTAACAGCTGACTCTGTGGCTAACATTTAGCTGTAACACATCGGTGACGCTGTCTGGATTCAAAACATTCAGACACTCGACCATTTAACGTTATTTCGCACCGTGTGACCTGTTTCTATAGTAACCAACACACTGCAGCAGTGAGCCTGAAGAGCAAAGCTAATCCAGCTAACCAAGCTAACGAAGCTCACACACGCACACAGTGCAGTTAAAATGTGAAGCTGACAGAAGAACAGCTGCTGCAGCTAATGTGGATCCTAATGAACTAAAGCCACACCGCTACTGTTAAAGGGTCCTGGTGGAAAACAGCAAACACCCACAGTTAGCATGAGGGGCAAAGCTAATGCTAACAGAGCTACTGCTAATGAAGCATTGCTATCAGCGCTAATATGAACTGAGCTACACCTACCAGAGCTATGCTAACAGAGCTATGCTAACTGAGCTAACTCTAACTGAGCTAACGAACAGAGCTAATTCTTACAGAGCTATGCTAACTGAGCTAACGAACTGAGCTAATTCTAACAGAGCTATGCTAACTGAGCAAGCTGCTGCTGAATGATCTCAGAACCTGACGTCAGTGTTCCGGTCCGACTTTAGCACCGTGTACGAACCATAACCGGTGAAGCTGCAGGTTTATTAACTGTGAACCCTGCAGACACATGAAACTCACCGTTCAGCACCGGTCCGGCCGCAGACGGAGCAGCGCTGCCGAGTTTCAGCTCTCGGACTGCGGCCGCGCTGGGCCCGCCTCCTCCGGCTGTAGTCATGGATACGGTCCGCTGGAGCCTCGACACGTCCCACCTGCGGTTCCGTCCAGTCACTGGCAGGCAGACTTTCCTAAGCAACCCGTCACGACTCTAAGGTTTCCTGTTATTGCCCCTGAGACACCAGAAAGTACATCATGTGTTCATGTGGGAACATCTGGGCCACCTTCTGACCAGTCACAGGAGTTAGAACGGGTCCAGAATGAGCCTCGGTCCAGAACGAGCCTCGGTCCAGAACTTCATCAGGAAGTGAAAAATGAGTATGTAAAAAACAAAAGTAAAATATCTTTGAGTCCAACGGGACTCGACAGTTTCAGTGCTGACGTTTGTTCCAGACAGAACCTGCAGCTCCAGTGTGGACAAACTCGCCTCGGGTGTTCGGACAGAACCAGAACACTTTGGACCTTCAGAGTCTGATGATTTAATTTAAACTGGAATTATCTCATGAACTTTCTCTGCTGATCTGGAGTTCAGTTCTTCTGTACAAGTCCCAATGTCCTTCTACATGTTCTGTTTGTCTGCAGAACCACATGAAGGTTGGACCCGAGTTCTGACTGAAATAAACCGACAGTAACGTTCAGTTTCATGGAGCTGGAACACTGGAGTAGACAAACACAGCAGGAAGCAGATCCCATCCAGGTGATGGAGCAGCTGGTGTTTGATCAGAACCGAAGCTGCTCCGACTCACTGCCTCGAACTGGATCATTCAGTAAAACTACCTGACCCAGTTACCACATCCTGTGTTCAGACACAGAGCTCACCTGAGCTCAGGTGCACTGTTCCATCTACCTGCCAACAGGTCCTGGTTCCACTTTGTTCAGCAGGTTAGTGTGGAACCAGAGGTGAGGAAGTAAAATCCCACTGAGGAGCTGGACTGGACCTCTGACAGAACCTACAGTAAAGGAATCAGCAGCTCCAGTGAACCCAAGCAGATTCAGATTACAGAACCTCCAGAAAGTCACATTACAGGAGCTCATGTCACTTCAGACTGAGGATGCAGCAGGTTCAGTCCATGAAGAACAAGGCAGAACCTCCAGAACCACCTGGTTCCCTTGAAGTCCATCGAGGAGGGTCCAGATTTATCACCCAATCTAAAGGTTTTTTGGACCTTTTAGCCTTTACTGTAGATGATGGAGGAGAGAGAGACAGGAAACATGGTGAAGGACCCGTGGGTCGGACTCGTCTCGTGTCTGGTGTTCTCTCTGCAGCTGCACCCATGAAACCCGTCTATCTGCTGTTCTGATGAAGTTCTGAGGCTCAGAAATGATGGAAAAAGTCCATGAGAGTGATCAATCTGGACCCTCCTCTGTGGACTTCAAGGACCTGGACCTCTGGAACATTCACAGTCTGAAGGTAGAACTCTGGTCAGTAGACAAAGGTTCTGCAGATACAGAGCCAGATGTTCTGAGGAGGTTCTGGAGGAACCTTGGGCAGGTGAACAGGGTCAAAGCAGGCTCTAGACGCAGCACCCGGTCAGTGTACATGATGTTATTTAATAACAGGACTGGCTGAACTGTGGCTGCAGGCTGGTGTCCACCCTGGTGTCCACCCAGGTGTCCACCCCGCCTGGTGTCCACCGGCTGGTGTCCACTGGTGTCCACCCCAGTGTCCACTGGTGTCCACCCCCTGGTGTCCACCCTCTGGTGTCCACCAGCTGGTGTCCACCCAGGTGTCCACCCAGGTGTCCACCGGCTGGTGTCCACCCTCTGGTGTCCACCCCGGTGTCCACGCCGGTGTCCACCGGCTGGTGTCCACCCTCTGGTGTCCACCCCGGTGTCCACCCCGGCGTCCACCCCAGGCGGCTGCAGCACTGTGAAGGCACGTTACAAGATGAGGAGAACAAACATCTGACAGGAGACATGTACATCGGCCATCGCTGGCTTTGTCACAAACAGTCGGAGCTGCTTCATGCGAGGCTTTTACAGCATTTCATTGGTCAGTTTGAATAAGGCAAATATATCACAGAGTAAACACTGCTAACAAACGATAGTGTAAAACTAATCTTACTGAAATGATATAAAGCAAAACGTTACAGTCACAGCGACAAATAAACGAAGATAAAGAAGCTGTGATGATGCAGAGACGGCTGCAGCCTCCTTCTGACCCGTCCTCTGAGGACCCGTCCTGACTGGATCTGAGCTACGTCTGTGATGGCAGATACTGCCGATAAAACGTCAAACCAACACCGTCCGTCTGACGCGCGGCTGCAGGTCTGGGAGTGCATCTACGGACTGATAGTAACAGGCTGAGGTTGAACGTCCTCTGGACAATTAGAGGAAAATACGATCAGCAGGCCTCGGGCGTCGGACCTCCTTCACCGGAACCAGTCCGTCAGGGTGTGGCTCCCTCCTGGTCCATGCTGCAGCCCAGAGCCTCGATGTCGTTGCTGATGTCGGTGATCATTCGGTCCCACTCGTCGCCCTCAGAAGCTTCCTGGCCTTCGTCCGAGGCGCCGCTATCGCCGCCGCCTCCCGCCGCTCCGTTTCCATTGGTGGTGGAGTCGGAGGCCGAGCTGGCGGTGCGGCGGTACCGACCAAAGCTGTCAGTGATGATGCCTCGACCGTCCTTCACCCCGATGGTCTCCAGGAAGTTCTCAAAGTGCTGACTGTCCTTCTCCGGGATGAAGGGACGAAGACCTGCAGGGAGACGTCAGACAGATGAACAGGACCGGTACCAGGAGGAGGCCGGGTTTACCGTCAGCTCAGTAGTAGTATTGGATCAGGTTACAACAGGAATTCATCTGATGTGAGTTCATGGATTAAAAGCAGAGAAGATGAACAGAAACAGTTTGACAGCAAACTTGTTTCATTCATTTCCAAACTGAGCCGATGAATGATTCAGACTCAGAGTGGCTCCATCACACACACACACACACACACACACACACACACA